AAGGCGGCTATTTTAATCCTGGAAGGAAATTTGATCGGGGCAGATTTTGATCACGTGCTAGGCAACCACTTGTGAGCCGTGAGCGCGCGTCACGCAATCAACAAAACAACGCTACAAATTGTAAATTTCGTCAAGCTTCATCTAAAAACTTGATTACCCTTGAGCCTAAAATTTACCTTTTCTTCTCAAAATCGTTATCAAAAATTTACTCGGCGAACGGCTTGCCTGCGTCCTTGCCCGTGGGGCAAGTAAGGAGAGGAAGTTACTTGCGCGAAGGGAAAATCTACTTGTCCCGGACGAACGGACGGGGGTTTTTTCGAGCCCTGTTATCTGTCTCTTATATTATTATAGGAGATCTAATTAATTGTTATGATAAATTTGCTAGTCAATATCTAAAAAACACTTTACTAACAAAAGTAGGGAGGTGAATAGCTTTGTTTTGCATCTTACAAGTGTAGATGTAGTATCTCATATACGAGGTTGTACAGTTAAATTTCCTTAATAATGTTTTATCATATGGGCCGGACATGATAACAGTTTTTCATCCATTGTTGGAGTAAAATTCGAATTATTAACAGCATTAAACCAATCTATGACATTTTTTACAAAGTTCTTAACGACTTCGCAATCAATAAAAGTGTGGTCAATTGAATCATGTTCACCGCAAGAGGCATTCGTCATTCGTTTTGATTCCGTATCGAAAAAGTTCGGAAACAAAATTAAAAGAATTTCAATTCAAACTTATTCATAGAATTGTAGTAACAGTTCAGCGGTTACTGCACAAAATAATTCACTTATTCCAAAACTACTAGCTTTACACTCTGTGCCATACCTGACTCTGAGGGGAGGGGTTGATACCGCCATGTCTTCCTCTGAGCTCTGATGCACAAGTTGATGTTTGTGGAGTAACTTTGCCTTCTTCGCCTCCAGTTCTTTTGCTAGAGTATCCAGTTCCTACGAGACGAAGTGATGAATTACTACTGAAGTTTTGTCTGCTATTTAAGCTTATCCATTCTAAAGAAGGAAAGCGACTAAAACATTCACAAAGATAAAGTGTAATCACATTGTGTAACCTATTTTTAGTTTAAAATGCCACCGGCAATTTAATAACAAAATCTAGGTCTTCGGCACAGCTGTAGTACTGGTATATTCTTGACGGATACACTTAAAAAACACAACATGGAGTCTTTAAACTATGGAAGCCGATAAGGAACAATCCCAAAATGTTCTTCAAATCCGAAAAATTATTTTCAATCGCAATTTTTTGGAAAATCTTTGCTGAACAGTTGGTAAAATCTGAAAAACTGTTGCGAATCTTAATAAAATTATTGGATCCACAAATAACTTTCTACAAATCAGAAAGTAGTTTCCAAATCCAGGAATCGTCGATCGACAAATCGAGAAAAACTATTTTTGAAATCGGAAAAAAATATTTTGTCACGTGTTACTTGCGCCAGCAGTCAGCCGGTGTCAGAGGTTTTCCCTGATATTTGCGATTCCAAAATGCGGAGGAACGCGGGAAAAGAGTTTAGGATCGTTTAGAATATAAAGTACAATTTGCAAACAAGTTTCGTATTTGTACAAAATTATTTGTGGATCCAATAAATTTATTAAGATTTGTAAGTCTCATCTGGAACTCGGATTTTTTTTCCGAGTGGATGTCATTTCTACAATTGCAATCGTGTTTTAGATTTGATAAATTGTTCAAAAATGATTTCCATAAAACATTGTGATTTAAAATATGTTTTCGGATTTCAAAAATATTTTGGGATTGTCCCTTATCGGCTTCCGTATTTAACACTTTGAAAAAGGAGGAATGAGATCGACAAGGGGGCGAAACCAGCAGCAGAATCTCCTATCTCCTTCATGTATCTTGTCTCTCAGTGTTTGGTTACTCCTTTTGGCTCCTCCCACAAGGACTATAGAATGCAATTTTAACAAATTCATTTCCGATTTGGACACCACCACCTGATCACCCTCCCTATGTAGTACACACCACAAATACAACAACACACAATGATAAAAGCAGCTACACCACACAGACAGTTCATTTACATTTTGTAGAACATCTAAATCCTCCTCTTTGCCATTACACACAGCATGACGGCGGTTTAAGTATTCTTCATATTCACGAATCTGCATTAAAAAGAAAAAAAAAAGAAACACAGTATTAGCACTACTTTTGTGCTGAACTTCGGCCGGGGTTTCGGCTCTAGTCTGGTCCACTGTATAGTTCTTTGGCCAAAACACTTAACTCTCTCCGAAACCCTCTGGACCCAGGACCCAGGACCCAGGACCCAGGACCCAGGACCCAGGACCCAGGACCCAGTGGGTAGCCCTAGGATGGGCTAGTATCTCATCTACATGTACGAAGAGTAGCGAAAGTCTTCGGCCTAGGGCAAACGTCGAATCTTAGTCGAATTTAATTCGCCAAACTTATTAATTTTGAAATAGGCGCATGAATGGTGCGACGTTTGCTGCAATTAAATTCGACTCAAATTAATTGGTTCGACTCTAGCATAGGTTCGACTTGCCA